TGGGCCCCCCGGGGTGTCTCGGTTGTAGCCGTAGGCGATGGTTTTGTCGATGGCGAAGCCGAAGTCTGCCCGGCGGACGTGCCCCACCACCTCTCCATCCCGCCACACCGCCTCCAGGCCGAACATCGGCACCTTCCTGCAAGAGCTGCCATCAGCAGAGCCCCCCCCGGGGGCAGAGGGGCTCGGGGGGACGGGACCCCCAGGCTCCCGCTGCCCACAGGTTCATTAACCACCCTGTGCTGACCCCAGGCGCTGGCAAAGCCCCTCCAGCCCGAGCTGCAGAACCTCTCCCTGATGTGGGTGAGACGGGATAAACCCTCTCCTGGCTCCTGTTAAACATCCAGCAGGGAAATTCCAGTGGGATTTAAATTAGAGGTGGAATTAGAGCATGGAAAAGAGCTGAGCGGGCTCGACCGGAGCCCCACGTGCGTGCCGGGGGTGGATGGGGATGGGGAGGGTGCCTGTCCTGGTGCCCAGAGCCTGGCACTGGTACTCACTCCTCAGTGGTGAAGCAGACGAGGCGTCGGAAGATGCCCTTGGCTTTCTGAGCCTCCACAGCCTCCCGGCCCAGGAAGGGGATGCTGGACTTGAGTTTGCAGGTGAAGGCCAAGCCTGCTTCCAGCGGGGTATCATCGGGGCGCAGGTCTGCGTGCCAGTGCCTGTACCCTGCAGAGAGCAAGCCTGGGTCACCCGGCCTCTCCCTGCCGTGGCAGCAAGCCCAGGGTGAGCAGCAGCAGGAGACCAACACATCTCCTCTTGGACACCCCTGTTCCCCTCGATCCACTCGCCCCTTTACAAGGCACCCTCGAGAGGAGGTCCTTGAGGAAGTCTTAGCAAGGAGCGCTGGGGTTGGCAGCACCTCTGCCAGCAGCTCCCAGACCTCCAGTCACACCAACCCTCCCTCAAAGCTGGGGAAAAGCCACTTCTCCCAGTCCCCCAAGCACAGGCGAAGCTGCAAGGGAAGCAAGAAACCTTTCTCGATGCTGAGGCTGTCGATGGCTCTGTAGCCAGCGTTGGCAATGCCGTGCTGGGCACCCGCCCGCATCACCGCCTGGTAAACCTTCACACAGTCCTCCCTGGGCACGTGCAGCTCCCAGCCCATCTCGCCGACGAAGGACAGCCGCATGGCACGGACCTGGGGAACACCAGAGGCCAAAGCCCACGGGAGGGTGGAGCTGGGCAGCACAGTGCCCGAGCTCCCGGGGCACCCGCGGGGCCGTGGCCAGGGGAAGAGCTGGCCCAGGAACCTCCTGCACGTGCTCTGCTTTGGTGGAAGGTGTTTCTTTGCTCTCCCCAGAGCATGGAACCAGGGTCAGACTGAACTTCTCGTCTCTGCACAGCCTAAGCTTGGCACATCAGAGGCAGCTATCATGGCCAAGGGGCAGGGGTGGCTGCTCTCAGCACCCTCGGGCCACTGAGCCCAGGGCTGTCCCAGAGATAGATGTGATGCTCCAGCTCCAGCCAGGCTTTTGTCTCCCTCTGCTGATCCATCGACTCCAGAAGAAAGCCCAGAGGCACCCCCAGTCCTGTGTCTCCCCAGATCAGCCCATCAGACAGGGAAGCTGGTCCCCAACAGGATCATCCTGCTCTTGGGCCCTTATGTTTGCTGTCCCCCAGGGATGTCCCCTCTTTGGATGGTGCCCCCATGGCAGAGGCACCCAGAGGCCCTATGCTCCCAGGGAGGGGCTGAGCCCAGCATCCCAGCCCACGCCCCACAGCCCAGGGGATGCTCAGGGTCCCCCCAGCAGAGCTCATGCCCCAGAGCATTACTCCCTGCTGCCAAATTAGCTCCACACCAAACGCATGAAGATCCAAAGAGGAATGAGCAGATCAGCTCAGGGGACTTGCTGCTTCTCAGAGGAAGGCTCGTCCTTGGAGATCTCCCTCCCTCTCTGCCTGCACTCCTGAGGCACAGATCTCCCAGCCGTGCTGGGACTGCCCTGCCCATGTTCCTCCTGCTCCTCGCCCAGGCAGGCTTGCCTGCATCCTCCCGTTGTCCCCACTGAGCCAGTCTGCACTCCCAAAGCTTCCCAGGCTGGCTGGGGATACCCCAGCTTGGGCACCTTCCCTGGAGATACCTCTTGAGTCTGAGCTGCATTTCCCTCTGCTTCATCCCTTTGGATTTCTCACTTCCTCCCCCACAAAAAACCTCTCTGCTTCATCCCTTTGGAAGCACATCAAGCACAAATGCATATCTCACTTTGGGAGGCAGATTAACTCAAGAGTTTCAGGCCAGATTGTGATCTGCACTCCTAATAAAGCAGCTTTCAGCCAGGAAGAGGCTTCCAGGCCAACTCTGCTGGCTGGGTATGCTCAGCACCTTTCAGGCCATCTTGTCAGTGCTGGCTCTGGGTGTCATTGGGGGCAGAAGCTGCATCTTTGCTGAACACTTTCTACAGCCAGGAGCTGTACTCAGCTGTGTTCTCCAATCCCAGGTATGCACAACATCAGACAACAGGCAGTGACAGTCACGAGAAGTACCAAAGGGGTGCCCAGGCTCTCCCCTGCCTGTGGGTGATGGGTGAGAACCCAAATCCATCCTTGCTTCCCCCAGCCCCACTGTGCTCTACCAGCACTCCAAAAATAACATCCTCAGGCAGACTTTAAGGCAGCTTTTAAGACATCTTAACCTTCACAACAGAAGCGGAGAGGAGAAGGGAGGAACCTTATAGGTATTGGGAATTTATTTGGAGCCTCCTCACAAGAAGAGCCACCCTTCCTTTGTTCCCCACCACAGCCCCACAGTGAAGCACAAAGGCTTGGCCATCACTTTTTGAGTGGCACAGAAAGGGGCATGGAGGAGCTTTTTGTTCCACATAAAGATGTCACCTAATTAGAGAACAGCCAGAGATGCTCTGGGGATTGACAGGCAGCTTCCCAGCTCATGAACCCTGCCTGCCACTCAGCACAGTGGCTAAAGTGCACTTTACTTGCAGGAGCAAGTTCCTCCTGGGAGAAATTTCTCCTCAAACCTCCCCTGCTCCATCCCAGCAAGAGCAGTGAACCATAGAAAACAGAAAACTTGGGAAAATCGGGGTGCCAGTGATGAGCTTTGCACAGGCAGGGGTTGGGGTTGCACCCACGTGTGTGTGTACCCCAGACAGGGGTGGGCATCCCACTGCAAAGGCTGAGGGGGATGGCAAGGGCTGGGCTCAGCTGCTCCTGCTGCCTTTCTGCTGAACTCCCCCAGGAATAGGTTTTTCTGTTAGCTTTCAACAGGAGCTATGGAACAGCATCAATTCCTGGGTCTTTGACAAGCAATTCAAAAGCATTTTAAGTATTCAAGCCAATGAAAACCTGAACTTTACCCTGTATCCAGCAGTGAATTTCAAAGGGGGACCTTTCTCTGTTCAATACAATGAGAGATGCTATATATATAAACTCACAAACCAATCTGTAATTTCCAGAGTCATTAACTCTGCTGGAGCTCTCACTCCAGCTGATTTTGTTCAACTACTGAGTTAATACATGAAAATCGCAGCGATAACTTTTTAAAGATGTTGGGTTCAGTTTAACCCCCCTGGAAGTTGATGGTATCAGTGAAGGCTTCAGCCCACAGTCCTGAGGAACCCTCCTACTCTGATTTTGGCAGGGGCTGGAGTCCCCTGTGCTCATTGTGCAGCAAAGGCCTGATGGAGACCTCCCAAAGGGTGGCCCTGGAGGCAGGCGAGCCCCGAACCCTCATGTAGGAAAGATATTTTTCCTGCAGTCAGGGCATTTACACCCAAAAGAAGCCCCAAAAAAATTAAAAAATTCTATCAGCTATTTATTTCACACAGATTATTTTTTGTAAACTTAAAGTGTAATGCAAATAAACTCTGGGATATGGGAACATTTATACACCTTTCCTTGGGGATAAGGAGATTATTGTGAGATGTTATCAGCTTGCTGCAGGCATGACAGGGGAGGATGTGGGGAGGGTTATAACTCGCTGGTGGAGATTAAAATGCAATGTGTTGGACAACCTTCAAGAATGGTTTGGCTTTCAGGTCCTCCCTGCCACTGTCCCCACCCAAGGGACGCTGGACACACGGTGGGATTTTGGCACCTGCAGCACAGGGCTCAATGCTGGTGATGGTTTGAAGGATTAATCTGAGTTGGGCAAAATCTGTGGCTTGGTTACACTGCCCTAAACCCTGGCTAGGCTCTTGCTCACAAATCAAGTAGCCTTAATTTGATTTAGCAGCAATCCCTTCAGCAGCCAGCTGCATTCGAATTAAAGCCACTTTAATTCTGAATGAAAAGTGGCCGCGTGGTGCTTAACCCAATTTCACCAACAGCCAGCCTGCCTCCAGCTCCCTGCTTCCCTGATGCCTTTTACAGGATTTAGAGCTGCATCTTCATCCCCTTCAGCTCTCATCAGACACCAGCCTGATGCTGGCATGGTCCCTCTGGCTCCTCCGGGTGGGAGAGGGATGCCCTGGGAATGCTCCCTGCCCACATTTCCCATGGGAAGGATGGGGTCCAAGCTCGACCTCCTCCCAAGAGCAGCTTTTGCACTGGAAGCAATATCTCACATGGGGTAAAAATCAATAAGAAACTGAGGCAGAGGTTCTTGGGCAAACCTTCCCAAAGCTTTTCCCCCCCACCAAAACTCGCCAGCTGCAGCTTTTCCCAGAATGTTTCTCTTTTGACCAAACAACACTTCATGGTCATCAGCTCATCTATTTAGGGTTTTTCCAGCAGGCTAAATCAGCAGCTTCACACAAGAGAACTCCCCAAAGAGTTCTTATCACCCCCTTTTCCCAGGGATGACATCAGACCACGCTGATCTCCCCTAGGCGAGGTGGGGGAGAGATTTAAGGCACTTTTCTCTCTGCCCTGTACCAGGTGAGACAGAGGAGTCCAGGCAAGCAGACAGCACTGAGAAACCTCACAGCAAACCCCAGGGACTGATCCACCTCTTTGCACCACAGCCATTGACACCAAACCGCTTTACACCGAGCCTTCCTTCCTCAACACCTCTGAACAATGCCACACAACGTGTTAAACCCATTGCTGCAGGTCCTGGCAGAGGTGCTGGGCTGCCAGCTTGGGCAAGGGAATCTCAATCTCCCACGGCTTGCATGCAAGACAGCATGGACATGCCTGTCCCCTGCTCTGCAGGCAAGGAGAGCTCATGTCCCTCTGCAAACCACCACAGCAGCACTGCCTCCCTGGGAGATGCATGGGGTGAGGAGCCTGCCAGGACTACCCACCAGGCACCCGAGCCTGGCAGTGGTGCTGGTTTCCACCATCACCCCAAAAAGCTTCTCATCCCCTTGCTCCAACACCGAGGGGTTTAGCTTGAGGTGTTAGCACAGAGAATTACCATTTCTGTGCTTTTCTTGCATAACTGCTGCTGTGAGCCCTGAAGTCTGAGCAGACACAGGATGATCTGTACTTGGACAGAAAGCTTAAGGTTGTCAGACTTCTCCTGTGATCAAACACAGCAGCTCCACGGGCTGCCCAGCCTTGTGCTTGACATGCTTTACAATAAACCATCCCTTTTTTTTTTGAGTACAGGGAAATGGAAAGTGTCCAGAGTGCCAGATAAATCTCTTTATCACCAGTGCTCACCCCTAATCTACAGGAGGCATCTCTTGTTCCTCTGACATCACTTCAAAGCCAAAAGTCATCATGTCCCTTCCCCAAGCTCAGTCCAGGCTATGAACTCTCATAAATACCCTGCTCCTACTCTGGCTTTTGGCTTTGTCCAACAAAGGAAACCCCAACAAAACCTCCCAGCTGCCCTCCCAGCAATGTGGAGGCAGACGGGTTCCCTAGCAGGGGATGCTCGGCCGTGCAGGCTGGTGGGAGGTCACCCCAGTGCCCAGACCTCCCTGGGGGTGGAGGGCTGGCCCCATCCTACCTTGCATCCTGCAGCCGTGGTCAGTTTGTGGGTGGAGAAGGGGAAAGCTTCATTGCTGAGGTCGGTGTCAAGCACTTCTTGGAGGACGACTCGGCTGTGGGGAAACAGCAAAGTGGCCATGGTGGAAGGACCTAGGTTGCCAGCCTTGAGAGAAAGGCCAGTTCCCAAGCTGACAGAGAATTGCTCCAGCCAGACCATCTCCTGGTGCCATGGGGCTCACACCTTCCCCTGCCCAACATGGGGACCTGGACTGCAGTTGAGGCATCCCTCTGCCCATCCCTGCATCCTTCTGCCCAACCCCACATCCCTCCATCCATTTCTGCACCCTTCTGCCCATCCCTGCACCCCTCTGCCAATCCCTGCATCCCTGCATGGTCAGGGTGCAAGGAAGGGGCCACGATGCTCTCCTTGCCCTCACCTGAGGGGGCCCTGGATGCTCATCATGCCCAGCTCCTCCGAGCAGTCAAGGAGTTGGCACTGGAGCTTCATGTCCTGCAGCACAGCGGTGATGTGGGACCAGTTGTGCTGAGCCACGGCCCCGCCGATAGCCAGGTAGTAGCCATCCCCTGGAAGACATCCCCCCCAGCACCATTTCAGGCTCCAGAGTGTCCAGCTGAGGACCATGAGCTCAGCTCAGGGCTGTTCTGTTCTCCAGAGCCTGCACTGCAGCCCTGAGCCTCTCCAGCTTGCACAGCCCAGTGGGGACCACCAAGAAAGGAAGGAATTAAATAGAGCTGGGGCAAGGGGCTCTGCTAATATCCATGCTGCCTTTTGTGGGGCTCAGCACAGTGAAAAGCAAATGACCATTAAAATCTGAAAGGTGAGAAGGTTAAAAATAGCTCTTTGAGCTCTGGAAGTGCCTCTCTGTGTGTGAGCATCACAGGAAGAGAAAAAAAACTCATTGTCCCTTGAGACCAACAGCAACAGCATTTGCTCTTTTGTCCCAGTACAGAGCAGATGCCAAACTGTGGAGGGAGCTGGGAACTAAATGTGGGAGCTGGGAACTAAATGTGGGAGCTGGGAGGGCTGCAGCAACTGGGCCACGACCAGTGCAGGGGCTGCACTGTATACAAGGAGGAATTTCATCTCGTCAGTAATCCTGGGTGGAAAAATCCCCAGGGATGGGGTTTGAGAGCTGATTAATACGTAATCAATCTTCCCTCTGTCTTTCCTACCACTACAAAATTGCTCCTTGATCATCTGTCATAACGATAATAAGTACAGCCACCTACTGTAATTGGAAAAATAGACTTGGCTGGGACTGAGCTCCTCCACCACCCGACAGACCCCGTGGCTCTGCCACCCGCTTCCCATCACCCCAGATGAGAGGGATTCAGGGGAGGGAAGAGCTCACCAGCACCCAGCCCCAGCAGGGCGAAGGCACCCACAACACCCACCACCCCGGGCTGGTGCTGGGGGCTGCACCCACTGCAGGGCTGGTCCCTCCCAAGCAGCAGCCCCGAGGGTGGCACTGCCCAGGGACGGGGCTCTGGGGGTGCTGGGCAGCCCAGGGCAAACCTCCCTCCTGGTGGCAGTGCTGGAGACAAGCTCAGCACCCTCCTCCTCTGCTGCTGCTGCCTAATGCCGTTTCTGCCCTCGGGGCTGACTGCTCTGCTCGCTTTCAATTCCCCTTTATTGCAGCTGATAAGGGCTTGGGGAGAAGGTCAGAGCTGCCAGCAGGGCTGGACAACCCGATAACAGCGAGGAGAGGAGCAGTGCAGGGCCCCAGGGGCAGGGGGGATAATCAGGTTAGGGGGACCCAGGGGCAGAGGTGGAAAAAGCCAGGCAGCTCCCATTAGGTAAATGCAATCACCCCTGAGCCTGGCAGGGATGGAGGAGATGCTGGTGGACGGAGTAGTTGGGGTGGCCCCTCCCCCAAACCCTGCCGACACGGCTTCCCGGGTTGGGAGAGGATGGGAGAGGCCAGGAGTGTAAATCCACTCAGCCAAACTCCCACAGAAACGTGCCCAAATCCAGCAGCCCTTGCTCAGGGCTTTTACCTTCAAAGGCAGGGGCCAGGGGGGAGCTGGGGTGCCCGGGGTGGATCCTGCTGACAGTCAGGTCACTCTCCACACCGCCCTGCCTGTTCAGCATGCAGGTGTACACCGTGGAGCCTGGGGACAGCAGAGAGCAGCCCATCAGCCAGCCAGCAGAGGGCAAGGGCCACCACAGAGGGTACCAGGGAAGCTGGTCCACTGCCTGGGTATGCCCTGACCGACCCCGCTTGGACCACGAGGGAGATGGGAGATGGGCTTTTTCTTTTTCCCCTGGAGATCTGTGTGAGGAGGTGAAGCTGAATCCTTGGGAATGCTATAAGCTGCCTCCCAGCCCTGGAGAGTCATAGAATCATTGAGGTTGGAAAAGATCTCTAAGATCATCAAGCCCAACCGTCACCCAACACTACTATAACCATTAAACCATGTCCCCAGGTGTCACATCCACACATTTTTGGAACCCCTCGAGGGCTGATGACTCCAACACCTCCTTGTGCAGCCTGGGCCAACGCCTCATCACTCTGTCAGGAAAGAAATTCTTCCTAATCCCCAATCAAAACCTCCCCTGAAGGGGCAGATTCTCCCCGTGGGAACCACGGTTGGCGAGGGCTGTGCTTGACTTACTCCAGTACCCATCACCTCTCCAGCTGTGAGCCACAGCTGGAGCCAGAGAGCCAGACCCCCCTCCCTCACCCCTCAGCACAGAGCACATCTGCCCCTGTGTAAATGAGAGCAGAACCCAGCCTCCAGCCAGGACAGGCGAGCACTTGCTTCCTATGCTTCCCATACCCTCTGCAAAGGTGCTGCAGAGCCTCTCAGCATTTAAAAACAAGGCAGTTTGGGTCCCATTTGGGTCGTTGGGGTGGAAGGTGTGATTTCCCAGGGCAGTGCTCAGCAGAGGCAGCACACAGCCAAAATCAGGGGTGGGGCTGAGCCCGTACCTGGCGCTTTGCTCACGTCAGCAGTAAAGAGCCAGTTCGCTGCTTTGGTTGCTTCAGGCCCAACCAGGTAGAATTTCCCAAAATAAGACATGTCAAAGAGGGCCAGGGCGTTTCTGCAGGTTAAGCACTCCTTCTTGATCTGCAATTAAAGCACACGAGGCTGAGTGGTGTTCTCAGACCACAAATGGCTCATGGCAGAGCCTTTTATGTAACAGGGAACAACACCAGGACACTCACCTGGTGACTTTAAAGGCTGCAAGGCTTCAAAACACTCCCCCAAATCAGCTATTAAATGGAGCCAGCCTGACAGAGCATCCCATATGCTCAATCCCAGCCCTAACACAGTGGCAGTTATCAATAATAAGAGCTAAATTTTATCAGATTGGGTATTTCCCCCAAGCTGGTCTCAACTTTTTCCTTTGGGAAAGCAGCAGTAAAATCCTTGTGGCCTCTCTGCTGAGGTGTCTGAGCATGGACCATGTATTTCTGAGCTTTTTGGGACATTTTGCCCACTTTTGGGCAAAACTTGCTGCTTCCCTTCCCGCTGAGCCTCGCCAGCTCTACCCAAAGCAGCAGGATGGCACAGGCTCTGCTGCCTCTAGCCCCCGTCCTGGCTCCAGATGTGCCCAGAGGTTTCGGGCAGGGGGGGCTGCCCTGGGACACTCACCACGTGGTGGTGTGGGGGGAAGTCAAAGGTGTACTCGTCCCCCAGCAGCTGCTTGTAGGTGTAGTCCTGGTGGCGCTCCCGGCCATACGCCCCGTAGTAGTCGTAATCCAGAACCTGGAGGGGAAGGGAGGGGAGGAGGAGGGCAGTGAGGAAGATGATGTGAGGCTGAAGCCAAGGGGCTGCTCCCAGTCGTGTTCATCCCGTGTCAGGAGAGGAATGGATCCATGCAGGACTTGGCTGTGGTGATGGGTCCCCTCCCTGCATC